AGGGCTGCCATAAACATACCAGGATCCCATATGGGCACTGGTTCTAATCCTGACAGCTCCAGTTCCCATCCAGCTCCCTGCTTGTGGCCTGGGAAAGCAGTCAAGGATGGCCAAAAGCCTTGGGACCCTGCACTCACATGAGAGACCTGGGCGAAGTTCCTGGCTCCTGGCTCTGGATTGGTGCAGCACCAGCCATTGCAGTCACTTGGGGAGTGAATCATTGGACGGAACATCTTCCTCTCTGTCTCTCTCCCTCTCGGTCTATCTGACTTTGCAATAAAAATAAATAAATTCTTAAAAATATATACAGCATCCTTTTGGACAACTGCTAATAAGAGACTGAGGTTGATGAGTTTTTTTTTTTTTTTTTTGAAAACCAAGGGGCAGTCACTGCTTTAAACTCTTTTTAAAAAGCAACTAGTAGGAGAGACTACACTCTGAGTCAGTACGGATGTCCACCCAGGACTTTCATCACACAACCCCAAGGGAGTGTGACCTGGGTCAGAGCAGGGAGGGGAGGGGAAGCTACGGCCAGGTGAGAGAAGGATTCCGCCAGACTCCCCCCCCAGGCTGCCCAGGGGAAGCCATTGGCACACTCATCTTTCTCAAAACCCACACAAACTCCTGGCAGCTCCTCAAGTTAGGAATAAACCAGTGATTTTAAATACATAAGTCTGTGTTACACAGAATCAAGCAGCAACTGGAAAAACCAGACAGGTTGCCTAGCAACAGCATCCTTCTCCCTCCCCCACCATTTGCATACCCTGGGCTATGGGTTGCCCTTCCGTGACCTTCCTAAAAAGGCAGGATAGAACAGTGACACAAGAGCAGACGTGGAGCAGGACACCTCGGTGCTGTATCCTGGCCCCTTGACCAACTATTGTGGTGCAAAGTTTCTACCAGCTCAGGCAAGTTTCTTAACTTTTCAATTGCCTCAAGTATAAAATGGAGATAAAACAAAAGTGCTTCTAAAAGTTTAGACAGAGTTGGCATTCAGCTTAGGAACTAGGATGCCTGTGCCCCACTGGGTTTGATCCCCAGCTCCAGTTCCTGACACCAGCTTCCTGCTAGCACAGACCCAGGGAGGCAATAGTGATGGCTCAAGGAATTGGATCCTTGCTCCCATTTGGAGAAACCTGGCTAGTCTCTGGCTTCTGGCATTCAACCCGGCACAGGCCTGACCATTGTCAGCATGTGGACAGTGACTGGCAAATGAGAGCTCTGTGTGTCTGCTATAGAAGTTTATTTCAGTGAAATAACTTTGTTCATATTTTTACAATAATGTTAATTTTCCATTAACCTTTTGAAAACCTTTCACATGCATGGATGTCAAAAATCCTTTGCATCTAAATAAAGCTTTTTCATTTTATTCAGTTTTTCATAAAATTTTTAAAGTGCCTTTGTGTGGTACAGTATTGATACAGATTTAATGAGTTAATATTCAAATGGTACCCAGAAAATGCTCAGTAATGTTAGTGTTCATTTTTTCTGTATATCTTTACATTCCTCTCCAGGCTTTCTTTTAAATGGGATTTCACTAATACAAATGTTGGGAAGTACCAAGTGATCAGAGTTCAAAATGTCCTTTGCCCCAAATTTGCACCCTCTGATTCGTCATCCCTTGTACACAGAATCCCTATTCCCTACCAGTTTTGTCTCCCATAAAGAGTAACAATTTTCCTTCCATGCTCTAAATATAGCTGACATTCAAACAGCCTGTGTCTTTATGGGAATAGCCCACACAATCTAGAAATCAAAAATAAAAGATATTCAGTTCCTTAATGCTGAATCTTGACTTATTACTTTAATGAATAATGACTCTACCTAAGGAATTATGATTTTTCTCTTGGCTATTTAGTTAAATGTGTGCCTCAGACTAGTTCACTATCAGCTATTAGTAAGAAATAGAATCTTACCTTCTAGATTTCCATGGTAAGTAGGCTGAGCAAGCAGGAATTCCTAGAAAATCTTCAGTTAAATATGAACATCTAAATTTTATAATAAAGCCAGATAAAACACTGCTGGCTTTCGTAGTGGTTATTTTTAATAATAAATTTGGCAAATATATTATTTTTAATTGTATAATTTTTATCTTTGATAATCTTTACATATTTGATTAAGGTGCAAAGGATCAAGGCTAGAGGAAAGTGGGGGAGACCATTGTTTTGACATTCTCTTTTTTCCTTCATGTGAGGTGAGCACAGACCTGACTCCTGTGTATGCTAGCCAGCATGGGGTCCTGCTCAATTAGTCATTCACATCAGCCTACACAGACAATAGTGGTTGCGGTCACCTAATCAGTTCTGTCTCCAGCCCAATCTCTTATGCAAACCAATGGATTCTGCAGTCCAGCCCAATCCTTCCCACCACCTGCTCAGCCCTCATATATGCCAGCAGGAACCGTAGCCCCGTCAGAGCTACTCCTAATAACATCTAGGAACACCCCAGCACTGGTTCCTGTGCACACCAGTATGTGCAGACTACTGGTCCAGTCTGTCCCACATCCCATTCAGCTTTTGTACACACCAATGCATACTACAGCCTAGCTCAGCCCAACAGACCCCACTATTCAGATTACACTTATGCTGGCAGGTGCTTCCACCTTTCCAGCCAGGCCCACCTCCAGGCCTGGTTCTCATGCTCACAGTGGGAGCTGCAGCCCATTGGAGAGGTGCCCCAGTTTCCCTACCAGACCCACTCCCAGCCCCAGATCTTGCACTTTTCAGGTGGATCTTCAGTCTAGCTTAATAGAACTTGCCCCCATTTCCAGCACTTTCCAGTTGATGCTATGGCAAAGGCCAACCAGCTGCACTTACTCTGGCTCAAGTATACACCAATAGACAGTCACTTAGCCCAGCCTGGCTCTCCACCAAACCAGCTCACATGCAGGCTAAGAGGATTTGTAGCCCTGCCCAGTCTGAGGAATCCTCAGCAGGAACAGTGGCTCAACAGAGGAATCCTCGCTGCCCCCTACCAGGATCACTTACCCTCTCACTCTATCCCACCCCCCCCCCCAGGTCTTACATGTGCTGGTGGGTGCTGCAGCCCAGTTTGGCATGGCCTGCCTCACCCCAGCATGTGTGAGGAGGTGCTACAGCCTAGCCCAGCCTGGACTGTTCCCAGTCCCAGCCCTAATGTGAACCGGCTGGGCTATAGCACCCAACAGTAAGAGCCACATGGATCTAGGCCAGTCAGGCAAGGCTGCTGTTCTTACCAGGACAGAAGGTAGATCAGGGCAGCTGGCAGGTGACTTGACAGAGAAGCTTGTGGAACTCCTCTGTTGAGATGCAATCCCTGCAGGTGAGCAAAAGAATCAAGGATGGGAGCAACCCAGACCAGGCCAGGTTACAGTGCCTACTGGCATACGTGTGGGCCAGGTCTAGGGGTGGGCCAGGCTGGGTCAGTTCATAGCATCCACTGGCAGGTATGAGAACTAGGACAGGGTGCATGACAGGCTAGGTTGGGCCACAACACCAGCCAATTCACATTAGGGCTGGGATTGGGAACAGTCCAGGCTGGGCTAGGCTGCAGCACTCACCAGCATGAGCTGGAACTGGGGACAGGCCAGACCAGGAAAGGACAGAAATATCTTACAGATAATTTATGAATATTTTTTCCATATGGCATGATGTCACTGATCTCCTTCCATGTATGACTCTGTATTTGTTTTTCTAATGCTCTAGAACTAATCACAGTACAATTTCAAGTGTTTATCTGTGAAACCCCTTACATGATCTCTCCTACCTCCAGTAGCGCCTGTGCCTTGGGAAGCTGCCACAGATGATCTCATTTACATCTGGATGATGACTGGGAAGTTCATGTTTCCAGCCAACCTTTCCACCCACAGAATTTCAACTACACCCCCCCCCGCCCCGCCCCGCCATCACCCTTTCAATGTCTTACACTACTCTTTTCTGCCCTCAGCTTATTCCAGATGCACCAGCAAACCTTGGCTTTCTGCTCCACCTTTTTCTACATACTTTGCCTGCCTGGTTTCAAACAACCCTATCTCAGAGCCACTACCACCCCTTCAGGGGTGCCTCCCTGGACATCCTAACAAAGTAAGCCCACCCCCCTCAGCTCCGCTGCCCTATCAAGTAGGAGACTATTCCACTAAGTACACTCCCTAATTTCCTTCATAGTAGTGTGACAGTGTAAACATTTTTGTTTATTTTCTTGTTTACTTATTTTATGTCTCCATATGGACAGGTATTCTTTGCTAAAAAGGACTTTTCGTCTAGTGGGCAGTTGATGGAAATTTGATCAGTGACAACAACAAATGATTCTGTGAGGAGGCTCTTCAGTCTCTTAGTACCATTCATATGGCTGCCTACATGAATCAAAATATATATATAGCTCTATAGTTTTGATAGCACATGATCTTACATTATCAATACTTTATAAGAACCTGCCAAAATACGATTAATTTTAATGCTCATTTTGCTCCCAGAAAAACTCAGGTTAAGTAGGGAAATATTACTTAAAGCACATAAGAAAACTGAAAAACCGTCAGAAATATGGACAATGCCACATGAAGTTTTCTAATGTTTCTGCTAGGGTTACTAATCTTTCTGATTTACCAGGACTGGCCTGGTTTTAGTTCCAGACACCCTGTATCCTTAGTAAACTAGGAAGATTGAACATCTTTTCTTTTTAAGATTTATTTACTTTTATTGGAAAGTCAGATATACAGAGGAGGAGAGACAGAGAGGAAGATCTTCCATCCGCTGATTCATTCCCCAAGTGACCACAACAGTCAGAGCTGAGCTGATCCGAAGCCAGGAGCCAGGGGCTTCTTCTGGGTCTCCCACGCAGGTACAGGATATCAAGGCTTTTGGACATCCTCGACTGCTTTCCCAGGCCATAGGCAGGGAGCTAAATGGGAAGCGGGTCCCACCAGGACATGAAGCAGCACCCATATGGGATCCGGGCATGTGCAAGGCAAGGACTTTAGCCTTTAGCCTACTGCGCCAAGTTCTGAACATCTCTTTTTTTCCCAGAAAAGACATGAGATGCTTCATGAAATCAGAACCCTGGCTATCCAGATGTGCATCAAAATATGGAGTGTAAGACTGGGACAAGGCTTAGGCTCTATAAAGATATCGAGTTAACACAGTAGTCGATGAGCCCACCCACCATACTTCACAGAAGTGCTAAATGTAGAGACGCTGTCTGTGATCCTGCCTTGAAGGTAGAACCTGAGTGTCAACCATGTGCTTTCATACCCAAAGTGATGATCTGGCAGAACGACATAATGGGGATATCCTGGGCAGTGGTGTGGAGTGGCTGGTGTGGGGAGGAGGACTTCAATTTGGAGAAACTGGCTTACGATGCAGGAAGGAAAACTTTCTGTCCCAATTCAACATAATTTTAAAAACACCTTTGTCCATACTCTGGAAATATTGACTTAATCATTTTGGGAACGTTGCCATAGCAATTTCTGAAGTGTAACATGTGTATGTGTGTGCGTCTGTGTGCTTTCCATGGGGGATAATTAATGCCTAGTTGGCATTGTCTGTTCATCTCGAGAGAAACTACAGTGTTCATTCATGCCATTGGGTAATTGTAGTGAAGCAATTATGTATCATATTTTGAAACCGGTGTTTAAAAAAAATCAGCCACTGAGGTGATTCAGACTTAATTATCTCGTTGGCGTTTAAGCAGCTGACTGAAGGCCCAAGGTAGAGAACACATCAGCTTGGAGCGCAGAAGGAACCCAGGAGCTCCCCAGCTTGGACGCGTCCTCCACTTGAGGTAAGAATCATGAACAGAACTCGAGGACTCTACCAGCACACCAGCTCCACACCCCTGACCTATCAGCTGTTACGGATCCTGAGTTGTTACTGTGATCTGCCTAGGTTTTCCTGTGCTTTTTCTGTTTGCTTCATGTCACTCTTGCCAGCCTAGAAACTTCTCAGACAAGCTGCTTAGTGAAGAAAGATCTGACAAAAGTCCATGTGGCTCATCTGTGGAGTGTTAGGTCATGGAACACCATGAGGAAGTTGCTCAGTGCTCCGGACTTGTGTTTCCATCTCTGGCAGATCCCAGCACAGTGACAGGAAGTTCTGTCTTGTTTCCCGGTGACTGTAGTCATTAGGATTTAGGAGCTAATGTGAACTCTGTGGTTTGGAAACTGGCCTTAAGCTGTATCAGTGACCTAGATCCTGCCAGAACAAAACTGCTAACCCTCTTACCTCAACTGTACTAGAATTAAGCATGAAGTTTTGGGAGGAATGATTTGAAAGGGCTTTAAGGATCATTGGCCAGCGTAGACCTTATTATAAAATCAGATGCAAGGGCTGACAGTTCCTGGAAATATTCTCCAGTTCTGCCCATAATCCATACCTGTTGGTATAGACTTTTTATGGAAAGTAGTTTGTTCCTAACCAGCAGCATATTGAAGTATCTTTACAGTCTAGACTTTTAAAAATCTGTTTAAATGTACTTTTCAATCCACATCTCTGTATTGAAGGCTACATTTCATTCACTCATCTCTCTGTGAATCAGCTTTTTCAGTCTATCCAAGCAACAGTCCATCTGTGAGTCTCACAACTTTGCTAAATTGTGCTAAGGTTTTCTCACTCCTGGTCGTCAAGATGGCTTAGGCAAGGAGCATTTAATGGAGGAGTGTTGTTCTGCCTGTATGTTAGTAAGAAAACAGGATGGGTACCGAGGCTTTAAATCTTGGAAGGAAACAACTCCGCGGAAGCAACAAAATATGTAACTAGCTCGTAGGGTTTTTAAGTCATTTGTATCTCTCTCTTTTAACAGGCAGCTGGCCCTGTCCTTACTTGTCAGCCAAATTACCTAACCTCTTAGGAGTCATCGCCTTGCTTGACAAGGTTCCTTTCCTCTCTGCCCATAAATTATCATCCTAACCAAACAATCCAACTGAAAGTCAAGTACAGTACATCCCTTGGTACCCAAGTAATTTCATTTACTCATTAAATTTCTAGAGGAAAATTATGTTTTTCCATCTGAAGTTTTGGGTGCTTGGATCTTCGTGAACACGTATCACTCTGGGAACATCCTTTAACCATACAGGGAAAATGTGTTTGACTGCTAGGATACCCAAGAAGCACCATTATGTTTGAATTTTCTAGATGCCTTTTGAACTTGCCGGCACTGAGGATGGCATCAAGCAACTCCCATTTAAAATCCCCAGAATAAATAAATCATTCAATGAAAACAGATTCATTAGCACTAGAATTTGGATCTAGAGAAGGGGGTAGGGGCGGTTTGAGCCCTGGATGTCTGACTTACTATAAAATATTAGACAAGTCACTCCATGTCCGTGTGCCTAAAATGAGCAAGATAATAATGTTCACTGCAAAGAGTCATCAGCATTTTATGTGGCAAAAAATATATACAAGTTTACTATTTTCATTGTTATTCTATTAATGAGTCCTCTTACTGGTTTGGTTTACTGTGCTATTTCATTGTGGAAGTGGATACACACATACACAGAGAATTCGATGGTTAATTAGCAGGTATTTATTTTGGCCCCTAATACATGCTGCACAGAAAGATAATTTCTACCTTAATTTGCATACAGTTTAATGAGTACAGATTTTGGGAGCTGACTTCTTTCCTGCTGTGTTCCACTACGATGAAAATGCTGTGCTTCCAAAAAAAACCACACCCCAAAGATGCCAACCTCCTCAGCACCTGTCCTCCTACAGCGCTTCACTTTCAGTGGTGCTAGCAGGACTGCATACCAGCATGGCCTCGCCACTTGCCACTTGTTAAAATGCAGGACTACTTCTATTCTAGCTATAACTGCTCATGACACTGTCTCCCAGCAGTGGTCCCCTGACTCCCTTAGTCCCATCCACTTCTGGACCCCTTGGCCACCCTCCAGGACAGCAAAAGGATCAGAAAGAGTCTTATATAGCAGGAGCCACTGGACTCAACTCCTGCAGGAAGGACCTACCTCTCCTCTCTCAGAGTGTAACGTGTTGATAGCACCCTGCTTCCCAGGACATGAAGACTTCGTGCCACCTTAATCCCACTCCTCATGTTTCCTAGAACCCTCAGATAACTTACTCTTGGACAGACTCTGGTCTCCCACCTTAGTTTAATCCTTTCAACTCTCATTCCCACTTCTTTATGCCTTCCTTGGCATTGTCTGTGCTCTGATTGTCCGAAGTCCTCCAGCTCTGGCCTTTCTGTGGTGTTCCATAGATTTCAAACCAACTCTGCAGGGTTTCAACATCACACTGGATGCATACGGCCATGGCAGTATTAAAATATTGAAATGCCTCTGTTGGTAAAAAGCCATTACTTTGTGTGTCCTCCCTACTCCCAGAACCCAGATATCCTGTCCACTCCCACAAAGACTGTCCCTAGCCACCCATGATTCAGCCCCCCTCACCACAATTTCCTAGATCCTACTCCAGAACTTCAGCCAGCATCTGTTCAGAAGAGGCAACTATGCTCTACTGGTACATAATGTCTTGTGGCACACCAAGCTACCCATTCCCTTATTAACTCACCCACTATATCGCAGGCACCAAGCCAGATCTAGAATTCCAACCAGATCAGGTCTTGTCCTCATGCACATACATTCTGGTAAGCAAGGCACACAATAAGCAAAACAAGGAACACACACGTGTGAATCAATATGTATTTTGATAACAGGCTCTTGAGGAAATGAGATTAGCTTAGGGAAGTCAGAAGTGGTCTTAGAAAGAAGATTGTGTTTTCAAAGAACCCTCAGAGTGAACAGGGTCTCTTCATTCCTAAATAAGAGACATAGGCTGACCAAGGCAACATTCCCAGGCTTCAGGATGAACTTAGTCAGAAGTCAGATGTTCATTGGAAACCTCAGAGCCCTGCAGTGTAATCCCCACATGAGCATACACTAATCTGCATGGACCTGCTACGCAAATTGGTCACTCTGTTCACTAAGTGAAAATACCAGCCCAAACTGCGAACACTGGTAAACTCAGGTGGGGCTTTTCTTTTTCATTATTTTGCTTATTTAAAGCAATAGAAAACAACTTCCACCCACTGGCTCATTTCCTCAAATACCTAAAACAGCCAGGGCTGGACCAAGCAAAATCCAGTAGCTGGGAACTCAACTTGAATTGCCCACATGGATGTCAGAAAACTTTTTCTTGAAAGATTTATTTTCATTTGGAAGACAGATTTACATTGAGGAGAGGTAGAGATTAAGATTGTCCATCTGCTAATTTACTCCCCACATGGTTGCAATGCCATAAATGAGTCAATCTGAAACCAGAAGCTTTGGTAGGGTCTCCTACGTAGGTACAGGAACCCAAGGCTTTGGACCATCCTCTGCCACCTTCCTAGGCCACAAGCAGGGAGCTGAATAAGAAGTAGAGCAACTGAGACATATACCTGTTTCCATATGGGATGCTGGTACTCCAGCCAAAGTATTAACCTGTATACTGCCACACCTGTACACTGCCACATCAGCTCCAAGGTACCACAGGATATCACTAACTCTTGAGGTGTGCATTAGCAAGAAGCTGTAGTCAAGAGTGGAACCAAGACTTGAACTCAGGCCCTGTGATGTGGGGTGCTGCTATCTCACAGTGTCCTAAGGTTCCCACTCCTGGAGTTTTCTCAACATATTTTCCCCCAGATCCACTCTACAAACAGGATGGCATCTCTCCAGAGGATTGCCTTTTCCCATTCTGCACAAAAGCCAAAAACAGGCTGGATTCTCCCTTCCCTGATCAGACTGTTCATCTCGTTCTCTAAAAGACCCCTTTGTCTGCAGCATCCCATTCCTGCCTCCGTGGTCTCACATTTAACCCCTCTTAATTAGACCTCTCCTCTGCCTTAGTCACATGTTCGCCCCACCCCCGCCACTTCTTACCATGACCTTTTTTTTTTCCTACCCAGGCTGCTCATGAATCCTACTCCTACTTCAAATCCTTGCCTAACCACCTGGTCTGACCCCCCTCTTTCTATCCAAACCTGGGTTATCACAACCTAGTGTTCCTTAACCACCTTCACAAGGCCCCCCTTCCTTGATGGACTACATGTTTGTGTGTTAATCTAATGGCAGTCCTGTCACCTGTAGATCTTCATCCAGTGTGAATGCAACATTGACAGATCGTCCAGATTATAAACTCCCACGACTAAAAACAATGTGTGTTAATATATTACTCACTTGGCTATCATTCTAAAAAATCCCTACCAGCATTGCTGTCAGTCCTTATGCTTCATCCAAGAAAATGGAGTGATAGTGATTCATGAAGTGACATGCGTGTACTAAGCATGCATTAATCACTTACATATGCCAAGCTCAGGAGATACAACACTAAATATGACATGGTTTCTCAAGTGAGAGAAGGCGTTTACTTACATTTCTGTGTCTGCTTATGAGCCAGGCCTTGTCCTAGACTCGGGAGTCATAGAAGTCATAGAAGAAAGAGATAATCCCTGGGGTGAAGGAACAGGCAATTAAAATCAAAATTACAATGCAAATTCCATGTAACGTGCCACATACTAAGATCAGGAACTGCTCCAAGGACAAGCGAACCAGTTAGGCACGTGTAACCCAGTTCACAGCCTTTCGATGAAGACATTCGTTCATTCACTCTTCCCATCAATCACACAGTACTCACACATTGCCTACTATGCGCCAGTTTCTGTTCAAGATTCTGAAGGAATGATATCCTTCCCCAGGAAACCTGAAAATTCCTACAGAGGAAACAGTAGGTGATGGCTTAAGTAGTTAGGTTGCTGCCACCTATGTGGAAGACCTGGACTGAGTTCCCAGCTCCCAGCTTCAGCTCCCAGCGGCATCTGAGAACTGAGCTGGCAGATGGGAACATACAATCTCTCTCTATCTCTATCTCTATCTATCTCTATATATATATATATATATATAGATATATATAGATATAGATAGATATAGATATATAGATAGATAGATAGATATATCCCTATATTTGAGAATACTGGAAAATTTAGAAATAACAAATACCTCAGGATGGTCAGCTTAGATGACTACTACTGCATGGACAGGAGAGGAGCCACAGCATTAGTAAAGTTTAGAGCTGGTTGTAAAGGACATTACCCCCATGAGCAGACCTGCCATGCAAATGGGTGATTGCCCAGCACCATTCAGGCCACCAACCTAAGCTATAGAGTCATTTATTGTAAAACTGTCAAGAATTCTCCCACCCCCACAGTACCCAGTATTCTTCACAGGGTACATCTCAGTCATTCAGTTTACTAGTAGGTTTTCGTATTATAACATACAGTGTTACAACTGTGCAAGTATGCACATGCATGCACATACTGACTCACTCCCCAGACTGTCAGAAACAGAGGTCAGGGACCAGGTGTCAGTCACCTCTCTGTCCTCAGCACCTAGAACACATCTCAATAAGGGATTAGTGAGAGAGTGGGCAGATGGGTAGGTGAGTAGGTGAGGGGATGGGTAGATGATGGGCGAATGGATAAAGTTCTGGAAGTAAGCAATAAAAATGAGCCTGTCTAGAAAACTGAATGGACCTAATCAATGAGATAGTTAAGAATAATTGTTTTAAAGCCATAAATGTTGATTAATTGCAGATGCATGCAAAGACAGCTCCTGTCATCTGGGGCTGTTTCCTCCTGTGGAATTTCTGCAGCTCATCCTCTCAGACCATTTACCCTGGCATCAAGGCAAGGGTTACTCAGCGGGCCCTGGACTATGGTGAGTTGAATGCATTTCAAAACAAGGCTGTAGCCAACACAGATGGGTCAGTATCCAAATTCCACAGCTCATGCTGTCTCATGTTGCTGATCTCTTATACTGAAATTGCTAAAATGGCTGGAAAAAATGTTGCCTAAAAAATGTGTCACCTTGATGAGAAGACATCACCAACCCATAACCTTGAGGTGTTGCTCCCTTTTTCCACATACAGATAGAATGAACATCTCGGAGCTCTAAATAACAATGCATGATAGGTTAGAAAAAGGGGGTTTTAAAGGACTTATTTCTTTTACTTGAAGGTCAGAGTGAGAGAAAGAGAGAGAATCTTCCACCCACTGGTTCATTCTCCAGATGGTCACAAGAGCCAGAGCTGAGCTAGTCCCAACCTGGGAGTCATGAGGTTCTTCCAGGTGTCCTATATGGAAATAGGCGCCCAAGGTCTTGGACCATACTCTGTTGCTTTCCCATTCACAGGGAGCCAGACCAGAAGTAGAGCAGCCAGAACACGAATTAGTGCCCAGATGGGATGCCTGTGGCATATGCCACCGTGCCAGCCCCAGGTAGTTATTAAGGTCAGATCAACTATAACTATTGTTAACTTTGGATAACGAGTCTCAGAGCATGGCTGGATGGAGGTGATGGGTTCTGGTGGTCTGTGGCACAGTGCAGGTGATACAGGCTCACAATAATGTGTTAGAGTCTAAAAAGAACTGTGGGTATTTGTGGGTTTCAAATACGAAAGATACCAAAGGAAATGGAAAGGTTTGTTTCCTGGTATTATTAATTTATGCTGTGTTTTTGTATTGGAACATTGTTCTGCAACCTATAAAAATATACAAATATTACATGTTGATTCATTTAAAAATTTCTTAATTTTTAAAAAAGAGATTCAAGGGTAAAACTAACATTTTAGTGATTCAGGAAGGACTTAATTTTGGAAGAGACTTAGAATCCCCTAAAATAGTGTACAGCATATAAAGCAGAGAATGGACATGTTTTTTCCAAAGATTTATTTTTATTTGAAAGGCAGAACTACACAGAGAGAGGAGAAAGAGATTTTCTGGATCACTCCACAAATGGCCCAGACAGCTAAAGCTGAGCTGGTCCAAAACCGGGAGCCAGGAACTGGAAACTTCTTCCAGGTTTTCAATGTGGCACTTGGGCCCAAGTCATCAATAAGAAATTGGATTGAATTTGGGGCAGCCATGACTCAAATCAGCACCGTATGGGATGCTGGCACTGCAGGCAGAAGCTTAACTTACTGTGCAACAGTGCCAACCAAGAACGTACGTTTTTTGAAAGCAGTGTCACTGTAGTTACGGAAAGACTAAGATCCATTCCTATAGAGGGTTCTTATAAAGGAAAGAGGATGGGGAAATCCTTGATCTGTGTTGCAGGGGGATTAGAGGGAGAAGAAGTCACCAAAATCAGGGTGTACAGGTGCATATTGCTCCCGTACATTTTTGCCTAAGATTGCCTGAATGGGTGGTTCTCTCCCAGTCAACCTAACTAAAGCAGACAACCCAGGCAATACTGGTCTGGCTGATAGCTAACTAAATCTAATCCAGACCAGCATCAACTGCCATACCAGACAAGAAATAAGAGGAGGAAGGAATTTCTTTTGTTTGGACAACTGCTCATCTTCCCCTCAGCACTTTATTGAGCACAAGGAACCTGATATTGATGACGTTGCACAATTGTTAAATTGTAAACATGTGGAAATGAGCACCAGGAATGTAGATACGATGTGTTGGTTCCATATTGATGTGCTGACGTGCAGAGGAATGATATTAGGGATACCTTTTTAAATCCAGTCTACTAATCTATGACGTTTGATTGAGCTTAAACCATTTACATTCAGAGTTAAATATACATGGGTAGTACTTTGATCCTCTCTTTTTAGGAATGAGTCGTTCATTGGTTAAGTCTTCTGTTGTCATTTTACTGGGATGTTCTTCACATTTGCCTTTGGTTTTGTTTTGTGCCATTCCTCTTCTCTGTCAAGAGAACATCTTGAAGTATTATTTGTAGGGCAGGTTTAAAAGAGGCAAATTCTTTTAAATTTTCTTTACTGTGGAAGAATTCTATTTCATTTTCAAAGACAAAAGAAAACTTTGCTGGATATGTTATCCTAGGCCGACAATTTTTTTTTCTTTTAGAATCTGGAATATGTAACTCTATTCTCTTCTTGCCTGTAGAGTTTCTTGTGAGAGATCTCCTGTGAGTTTAATTGGGATTACTTTATATGTTAACTGATTTTTTTTTCATGTGCACATTTAAGGATCTTTTCCTTATGTTCTATTGAAGAGAGCGTAATGATCATGTGTCTTGGTGAAGATCGCTTTTGATCAGGCCTGTTGGGAGTTCTGTGCCCCTCCTGGATCTTGTTTCCCAATTCTGTCTCTAGACTAGGAAAATTTTCCTTTATTATTTCGTTAAATATATTTGTAAAACAAAACCAATCTATTTGTTGTCTAGAAGAGACACATTTCGCCAAAAAAAAAATCAGTGGAAACTATATCGCATGGGTTTTGATGTTTTCTGCTAGTTTCATCTCTTCAAAACACTTTCTTCTGATTAAATTATAGATCATACAGTAGCATCATTTTCTGCAAGAAGGTTCTTGATTTTCATTTCTTCAGCTACATGTTAGTCATTTAGTAGCATGCTATTTAACTTCATGGTGTTGTTAATTTCTTTTTTCTTCTCTTGGATGTTGATTTTGTTTTGTGGCTTTCCACTTAAGGGGATGTACGGTAGGTGTGTAATGGAGACTGTCATATCTAGTAACATGTCATTTAACTTCATGGCATTGTAAATTTCGATTTTTCTTTCTATTGTTGATTTTGTATTATGACTTTTCATTTGAGGGGATATACAGTAGCTGTGAAAAGGAGACTAAAATATCCAGATGTGAGGATACAATGTAGTATGCATCTCTACTTCCAGACAAAGATAGACTTACAATGAAACTGTTTACTATATCTTGACAAAAGGAAGCTGGATTCTTGCACATGCCTGCAATGATAGACATATGACTGTGTATGAAGAACTATACTTTAGTAATGATATAGAGGAACTAGGTGGGGCAGGGGGTTTGGGACTGAGTTAAGGGAAATACCAGGAGCCTATAGAACTGTATCATAAAATGATAATAATAATAAAAAATAAAATTCAAAAAAGGGATACCTTGTACAGAATTAGTCATGCAAGAGATTTTTTTTCCGCTCAGCAGAGCAGAGCTCTCAGCAACCACTCGGGTGTGAATGTCAGTTCCATCCCTTTCCACAGTATGTGACCTTGGGCAAGTGGGTGTTCTCATCTGGAAAATGAGGGGATAATGATGGTACTTGCCTACCCCCTCATTAGTGTGACATGAGGATCAAATGAGCTCGTTGGTGGCTTCGAAGTCAGGGTCATTTGTTGAAGCAATTCCCACGGCCCTGCTTGTTGACTGTGATTGGTGAGCCATGTGTTCCTCTAATTTGAACACTTCTATGACAAGGCTACTGACCTTTTACAGAGAACTTTCCCAAGCACCCACCAATAACAGGCCATGGGAAGACATGAGCTCTTGAGCCCTGGCTCTGGCCTCCAGGCCTGGATAACAGCAGTGACTGTGGGCTCCTAGGAAAGTTGCTGAACCTCTTGGACTTTTCACTGGCTGCGCTTGATATAGGGATCACATTGCTGTTGAATGGGGAAGCATGTGGGCAGTCTTGATGCACACAGGTACTTACACCAATCGGCTAGGGTTATTATTTCTGTCTCTATTGTGACAGTGAGTGCCCAGCCAACACTGGGGGCTGTGAAGCCCTCCTTGGTTACTGTCATGGTCGTGTCACAGATGAGACAAGTAAGGGACAGAGAGGTTGTATGTCTTGCAGAGTCACACGAGTTGGCAAACGACAATATTGGGATTCAGCCCTAAGCTTTCTGGTGGTGCTTTTGAGTCTGTCTTTACATCCTTCTTAGCCTCCCCTTTCATCCCCAACCTACATTATTATTTGTGGCATTTGAGATGATATAAGGTACTCTTCTTCATTTCCAATAAGGATAGAATAACTGGGAATGAATTTAAATCACACAGTAAAGAATAAAAGCAAAAATTTCTTCCTTGAGAAGGTTGAAGTTATGAGTCTTCACTCACAATGCAAATGATTTTTTATTACAGTAGTATACTTCATAAACAGTTATAATTCCATCATTGCAAGCATAGACCATGCAGAGAATCCAGAATCCTTTTGTCAGGATAAATTTAACAGTCTCATAGGGGGTCCATCTTTGATCTGAAACTAAAGATGGTAAAATACCATCCCCTCAAATGAAAGCCACAATACAAAATCAACAACAGGAAGAAAAATGGAAATCTACAGCATCATGAAGCTAATTAACATGCTACGGAATGACTAATCAAATCCTGTAACTACTTCATTGACATCTCAATTTTTGTTTATACATAACCAACTGCTATAAACCTTACAGTGGTTGTAGGGTACTAGTCAGCTGTCTTGAGTCCTTTTTTTTTCATATTCATATTTAATAGTTTATAGTATTCAAGTGAGATTTTACTGAACTTCGTGAATTTTAGGATAAGCCAAACAGGCTTATAACTCTAACAAGCCATATGTTAATTATGGAGGAGTAGAACAGTTTTAGGAGGGGTGAGCAGAGAAATCTTCAATAATTTAGTTAGTGAGGAGTAACTGATCTTTGCGTACTACCTAGTGAGGTATATGAGGGTAAGCTGACTTTTTTCTTGTCTGCTCTAAACTCTCCTTATTGGTCTCTCTCTGTCTGATCTAATTTTGGGGGCTCCGGAGCAACCCTGATGGTCAGTACAGGAGATGATGGGGAACCAAAGTTGCAAATGATTTTTTCCGAGGTCTATAATGAACTGTGAACCATAAGCCAAAAATTGTTGGGCTTATATGGCTCTGTAAGGAAAGGTAAATGTGGAATAACTCTGTGGAGCTGACCACAGCCCACAGATTCCACGCTGTAAAACTGTTCAGACCTGACTCGCCATCCCCCACTTCTTGACTGTATGATCTGGGCAGCAATTCACCACTCAGAGACAAGGCTTCCTCATCTGTGACATATCCATGATGGTAACAGTGCTATTTATAGTTTGAGGAATATTTTTCACTTTTGCTTTTAGACTGTCCTGTGATAATAAAACTTTACAGCCCAGGCCACATAATGTTCTTAGTTCTGTGGTTTTTGAACAAGCTCTTAGGCCCCTCTGAGTATCAACATTTTCCTCTATGTAGGAGGGATAGTAACACCCGTGTTACAGGATGGCCATTTTCTAAAAGCATTGAGTAACTCAATGTGTAGCTAATAACAAAATGTTGTTACCACTTCTGTTGTTGTCAGCAGACATATTCTCGTTCCCTTCACAGGTGTCCAAACAGGGGTGGAAGTACTAGGGCAAATGTTAATGGAAAGCAATATCCCAGACTTCCATGGTTCTGAGTCTCTTCAATTTCTGAAGGCTGATTATGTGGACTACAATTTTTCAAAGTAAGTAAAAGAGAAAAGCATTTATCCTGTGTTTTAAATCAGTAGAAGAAACCCATGACTTTAATTATAACCAAGCCTCCTTGTCTTTTTCTTGGGTTTTTTTTTTTTTTTCTGTCACATCATTTTTAGCTCTGCCTTCTATTTTTGAGTTTGCCTCATGGCCCAAATGGCCTCTACAGCTACAGCCATCACATCCATGAAGGAGGAAGAGGAAGTAGTAAAGAGGATCTTATCAGCTGAATCAGTTGACTTTTTATAAGGTTTATTTGTTTATTTGAAATACAAAATTAAAAAGAGAACGAGAGGGAGAGACAGACAGATCTTTCATCCGTTGGTTCACTCCCCAAATGGCCACAACATCCAGAGCTGAGCCAGATCAAAACCAGGCGCTTCTTACATTCTTGCAAGCTTCCCATGTGGGTGCGGGGGTCCAACCACTTAGGCCATCCTCCATTGCTTTCCCAAGCAGAGAACTGGTTGGGAAGCGGAGCAGCCTGGACTCAAACTGGTACCCAAAACGTATGCTGGCACCAGATGTGGCAACTTTACTCAATACACCACACCAGCTCCCAGTCTACTTCTTTAAGGATTTTGTTTTTCAGAAGCTCTATCTTAACAACATCCTGCTGAACAATAAAGAACAGAACTTGGTCATATGACACTTATTAACAAAGAAAACTGAGAAATCATTTTCTTATCAAACAACTTTGCTCCAGTAAGTTCAGGGATATTTAAAGAAGAAGAGGAAATGGATGAGGAGATAGGAAAAACCTCCGCTAGGGTTGTCAGGGAGAGTCCCAAAGGTAGTTAATGTAGGAAGAATAGGACTTGTCCATTTCAGACTCAACCTTGGAGGTTAGGGGAGAGCCAAGTTTGAAGAAAGACTTCTTTGTGACTGTGACTCGTGATTTGTCCCAGTGAGAATTTCAAACTAGTGATAATTCCACCGCTTTGCAATGATTTTTTTCTCTGCTGTCAATGGTAGCATTCCACAAAGCCAGGAGGTAATTTGCGATTTTCACATTTTGTTTGTTTTCTGGTTGTGGAGAAAGCTCCTGGTGAGTGCCCAGGTCTATATAAAATCAATTGTCCAACAAGTATCTGTGGAGCACCTAATACATACCAGGCCTTGTTCTGGGCACTGGGGCTGAAGTAGGAAATGCTACGTGTCCCCTGCCCTTAACATCAGTTATAAAACCAGTTGTTCAATTATAGCAGAAATAAACAGGGAGACTTGTATAATGTGAACTGCAGGTAAAGATGAGGGGAAACAGATATTTGGAGCATTGCTACTTCAATAATTTTAGACCTGTGCTTTCCAAACAGTGGCCACTAGCTACATGTGGTCATTGAGCACTTGAAATATAACTAGGCAACTGAGAAAATTCATGTTTCAAATTATGAAGTTTTCATTTAGAAATTGACACTTGATTCAGTTGTTGAGAAGCTTTTATGGGTGTTTGGAATCCATTAACTCTTATGCACATTAGGGTCAACACCATGGCTCAATAGGCTGGTCCTGCACCTGCAAACACTGGCATCCCATGTGGGTATCATTTCGCATCCTGGCTGCTCCATTTCTGATCCAGTTCCCTGTTTATGGCCTGGGAAAGCAGCAGAGAATGGTGCAAGGAGGTCTTGGGATTCCGCACCCGCATGGGAGACCTGGGGGAAGTTTCTGTGTCCTGGCTTCAGACTGGCTCAACTCTGGCTGTTACAGCCATTTAGGGAATGAACCAGTAAATGGAAGATCTTTGTCTCTGCCCCTCTCTGTAGAATCTTCCTTTCTAACAAAACTCAATAAATCTTTAGAAAAAAATTATATACATTTACTTTTTCAAATGAAAATGTTATTAAATATAAACACAGTTCAAGTATTTTATAAGATCTAGTGCCTGAATTGAGTTGTTTTATGAGTACATGATGTAGACCAGATGTTGCAGAATTAATTTTTAAAAGAAGAAATTAAAACATAAAATATTTTATATTGATCATTTAATGCTGTGATGACATTTGGGTTATATTTGGTTAGGTAAAAATATAAGTAAAATTAGTTTCAGCAGTTTTTCTTTTTTCAATGGGAAACTAGAAAATGATAAATTACATGTATGGTTCATAGTACTATTTTAGAATGTGCTCTATAAGTTTCTTTAGATAAATAATCAGATACTTCAAAAAAGACTTGGAGGGGTAGGCATTTGGCTTACTGGCTAGGACATCACTCCGGGCAGTGGTAGCCACTACTGGAGGACCAGGGTTTCAGTCTTCACTGTGCTCCCCATTCCAACTTCCTGCTAACACACCCTGGGAGGCAGCAGATGATGTCCTGAGTAGCTGAGTCCCTGCTACCCAAGTGAGAAACCTGGGTGGAGTTCCCCATTCCCATGACTTCATCCTAAACCAGCCCTGACTCTTGCAGGCATTTGAGGAATAAACAAGTAAATGAGTCTCTCTCTCTCCCCTTCCCCCTCCCTCTCTCTCTCTCCTTCCCTCCCTCAATCCCACTCTTCCCCTTGTCAAATAAATAGAATGTTTTTCAAATTATAGTAAGTACATATTATGTAAAACCTATACATGAATTTCAAGACTGGATTGCACTGAAGTTTTTTGTACATTTTTAAAGTTTTTAATAATATAGAAAGAACAGGTGTTATGCATTCCATATGTGCAGTTCAGGAAGACAGTCACGCTTGCCTTGTTCCCCTGCACCCCACCACCAGTACTAGTACCAGTACCTCTCTTCCAGCCCTTCAATCATAATTTTAATCTTCTCTAGGTAAAGATAACTTTTGATTACATTTTCAACAGCCTTTGTAGCACCTGTTTATATCTTTGATCAGCAGTTCCCCTTCTCAGTGTCCTCCCTGGAAGAGTAGCTGTCACCCAACACTTCTATAAGAATGCACATGGTGACACTGTTTATAATACAGAAGTGCCAAAGCAGTTGAAATGTCCATCAACAAAGGAATGGATTTTTTACCTGACAGTTTGGAACACTGCAATTGTTATAAAGAATGGGTTGGAATCATGTGTGTCTAAGAAGAAATATTTCTAAGATACAGTAAGGAATTTCTGCCATCCTCCGTGCATAGAGGAACTTGGCTGTGTAATAGCAAAGAAGATAAAAAAGTGGGCATGGAGCAGGAGGTTACGAATGGTTTTCCTATCAGCCATTCCACTTACATTTTAACAACTGCCTAGTCTTAGTTCATAGCACCTTTCTCCTGTGCATCAGTTATACACAGATGAACTCATTCTGCCTTCTCAATGTACCTATGAGCAACGTTTGTTTATGTCATTGATGGAAAGAGATTATATGCCTCATAGAGGAGTTAGATGCTCTTTGCACTGTACAAGAAGGGATAGAACCTTGTGGTTAACAGCCCTACCCAGGAAGCCAGTATTGTGTAGCAGATGAAGCTGTTTCCTGCAATGCCAGCATCTCTGATGGGCCCTGGTTCATGCTCTGCTTCCAAAACTATTCCCTGCTAATATGCCTGGAAAAGCAGCAGAAGATGGGTGCTTGAACCCTGCACCCATGTGCAAGACCAAAAAAATTCCTGGCTGCTGGCTTAGGCCTAGCCCAGCCCTGATTGTTGGGGCCATTTGAGGAATGAACCAACAGATGAAAGATGCTTTCCTTTCTCTCTCTCTCTCTCTCTCTCTCTCTCTCTCTCTCTCTCTTTCTAACCTTGCCTTTCAAATAAACAAATAAGATTAAAAAATGGAAAAAGAGCATAGTCTAAAATCAGAATAAGGAGAGTTCCAGGTCTAATTGCATAACTCACATGGATGACTCCAGCCAAGTTTCTTACGTTCTCACATCTTGATTGGAAATTATGAAAGCAAAAACTCTCTTGTAGGCTTATTTTGAGATCAAAATGAGCTAATTCATGAAAAGTGCTTACCACAGTACCTGGCCGGTAGCAGTTGCTCAATATATGTTAATACTAATTTATTAGTATGTATTCATAATAATTGATCATAACACACATAGCTATCTAATGATGTAGATTACAAGCAACCTTCTGCCTCACACGTGCCTCATGTGACCTGTTTAACTGTGCAGAGAATCCTAGGAAAAGACAAATCTCAACAATAAATTTCTCAGCTAGGAAGATACTGCCCATGTAGAAGATGTTTGGAAACAAGAGGAAGGTGGGAAAGAACATTACTACTCATGTAATGTCCAACATTGCAATGTGTATGACAATCCCATACAAAAATAGATACCTCTTCCAAAATTCTAAAATCACCTCTCATGAGACCAAAAAAAAAAAAAAAACTGGAACCACTAAAGGAAAGGCTAATGATGCCAGCACAGAATCTGTTTTTGTCATTCCAAAACCAAAGAAATAAATTATTTCATTATTTACAAAATTATTTCTAAAACTTGCTGGTCTCTCCCCATCAAAGAACTGCAAGAAGCTATTTCCTGGTAAGAGTTTCAGGGGGGCTTAGGAGGCAGTGCCTACAGAACATGTTGAAGTCAAGAGGTACTTTCTGTTGAAAGAGTCACAGGTTCACAACTTCTGGCAGGAATTCTACACCTGTGTTTTCTGTTTTGTTTGACTTAGAGATGTTCCAGAAGAGTTGTCCTAACCATTCTGGGTTTTTGTTTGTTTTACAGCATAAAAATCAATGCTTTTTCCTTCCCAAATACTTCCTTAGCCTTTGTGCCTGGGGTGGGAATCAAAGCACTGACAAACCATGGCACGGCCAATGTCAGCACCAACTGGGCAGTCAAGTCACCACTCTTGTGAGTATTCCTCTGAAATACCTGCTGCTGTCCTGGGGAGGAGCAGAGCAAGAATACAGAGTGTATCAATGCTCCGCTACTCTCAACACTAGAATTCTCTCAATTCTCAAGAGTATTTTCCCCTGTGAGATTTGATCAGGAAATCCCTACTTGGATGGGGATAGGGTGAAAGCGCTCTTTCCTTAAAGGCACAACAATTGATCAACTGTCATTTAAGATGCAAAGACCACACGTGTCAGGCTGCTGGAGGGGTAGAGGTCTTAAATACACCAGGAAATTGAAAAATTGGAGGTAGATTGATAGAAGACCTACTGTGTGCAAGTCTCTGTCCTGCATGAAATATTGAGGTCTGTCTTGGCACCAGAGTAACACACTCATTCATCCACTAAGTCATCCAGCTACCATTTACTGGGTGTCTATGTGTGGACCACACCTCAAGCATTGCAGTCTTAATACTTGCACAGAAAAGACACGTCCCCCCTACATACACAATACATATGCATGTGTTCATCCATTTCTGCCATAAATCGTCAAAAAGTAAATGCTGCTTCTACATTGGGTGGCAAGCTAAGTTCTTAGACATGATAAATAACTCACAATCCACCTGCTTGAAGGGTTCACAGACTACAACTAAATGTCACGTTCCCATCTGTGCCCTTCCTGCACACACTGGTGCCAGATTTACCCCTGTTTTTCTCACTAAAAACGTTATATATGCATGATGCCCAATCACTACCAGAGCCAGAACATTCAAGTGGAAATACCTATAAATCCCCAAAAGCTGGACATGGTGCAATGACTCAATTGGCCTATCCTGTCTTTGCAAAGTGCTATATTCCATAAGAACTCCAATTCATGTACTGACTACTCTACTTCTGATCCAGTGTCCTGCTGATGGCCTGGAAAAGCAATGTAGGATGGCCCAAAGATTGGATCTCTGCACCTCATGGGAGACCCAGAAAAACCTCCTGGTTCCTGGCTCCTGGCTTTGGATTGACTCAGCTCCATGGTGACCATTTGGGGAGTGAACCAGCAGATGGAAGATCTTCTGTCTCCCCTTCTCTCTGTAACTCTGTGTTTCCAATAAAAATATTAAATAAATGAATCTTATTTAAGAAAAGAAGCTTCCACCATTCATATATTCATTATTTTTTACTACATATCCACTCTGCACCTACTCTGCCCCTACCTGTTGTAGACACCAGGAATCCAGAAATGAGCCTGACATGGTCTTTGCCCTCTAGGAAGTTGCAGTATAGATAGTCAAAAAATCAGGATTCATGTCCATACCTGACCCAGACTTGGGTAACCTTGCACTTTGTCTCTGAACAGCAAAGATACAGGAGGAGCTGATCTGTTCCTCTCCGGGGTCTACTTCACTGGCACCATCATCCTAACACAAAATGACTCAAGTCACCCAATCCTGCAACTTGAAGACTGCTATGCCCAAGTGAGCCATGCCCATGTCTCATTTTCTGGACAATTAAGGTGAGTGAGAACTCCGTGGTAAAAAATGGCTAGTCAGAGGTTGGATGTTCAGAAGGGTTATAGCCATCAGATGATGGCCCTTGAGTAAGCTCTGTCTGTCTTGTGTCCCTAGTGTCCTATATAACTCCTTTTCTGAGCCCATGGAGAAACCCATTTTGAAAAACTTAAATGAAATGGTAAGTCTTTTCAGGTAAGACACCCACTGTAAAATAATATCAGCACCAGTTTTACCATGCTTTTATTAATTCTTAATCAATAAGCTTTGTTGAACACCTACTATGTGTTAAAGGCCTTCTAAAGCACTTTGACACACATTGTCCTCTGCAACGTAGTTTCTCAAAACCCTGCTATCTGCCAAACATTGTGGTAGGGACAAGGGATTTAGAGTTAGGCAAAATAGCATGCCCTCCTTCAGGATTTTCAACAGTGGGCAAACTGTCAGTACGAATTTATCTGTTATGTATCTATTGGTGCTCACCGAAACTCAGTGCTTAGCAGATGTTAGGTGCTTTTGATAGTTGGTGAGGGAATCAACAATCAAAAACATCAACTTGCTTGTGCAAAGAGGTGGCAGAGCTGGCGTGGGGACCTTGAAGCTTACCTGACAGGGACTGAGTACCAGTGAGTGTGCACCTTGTTCTGTCATCTTGAAGGACTCTGTTCTTGATTGTTTCCCCTTGGGAAATGAAGTACGATCCCTTGGCCTCTGGCAGGATGTCATTGAGAATGACTTATGTCGTGAGCAGCACTAGTTAAGCATGCCTGTGGTTTATGCACAGCTTGACAATAACACATGCTGTTTCTGATTCTCTGTGCCACTGTAAACAGCCAAGAAAGCTCAGACCGCAGCTGTGTAACTCATACAAATTGCCATTTCTCAGCTTTGATTTTCCCATTTGTAAATATGGGATAGTAGTGCCTATCCTTTAATGCTGAATTAAAAGACCAATAGCTAACACTTCCTGGTCACTCATTATGATCTGGGAATTTTGCTTGGATTACCTCTCAATGTCTCCTTACAACAACTTGATATGTTGTCCACATTGCAGGTGAGGAAACTGAGGACTGAGTGTCCAAGTAACTTACCGAGGTGCCCAAACTCCCTAGTTTCTGCCACTGGGCCAAGTACACCAGTGAGCAAATGGCAGGCACACCCACATGAGCACTTGTTCTCATGTATGCAGAAGATGACTAAATAAATCTCTCATTTGCGGGGCTCTTAAACTAGTTCAGGGGTTCAGTAAAGACTCAAAATGAAAGCACTCCCAACTACTTAGAGATGGGAGGTGGGTGGCACCTCAGCCATTGGGAAAGGCACAATTTTTCCAGCAACAGGTTCTTCAGGTGTGACAGCAGGTGCGTGGTCTGTGATTCGTGCCTCATCATGCCACAGAGAGAAAGGCCAAGGGCTCAACCTTTTTATGAGTCTAAGTAGGTGTGGTTCCCGTTTGAGAAAGCTAGGCCAGTATTCAATGACATGCAGTCCAGATTGTCAGAACTTGAGGCCCATGGGCATCCACTGATTTAAGGGAAAGTATAGTGGTACTCCATCAGAGGGTTTCATTTCACTAAATAATCTGGGGTTTTTTTTTTTATTCCTTTTTTTGCGGCCAGCTCTGTCCCATTATCACAGATGAAGTGGAAGCACTGAACGCCAATCTCAGCATGATGGAGTGTGAGTTCCAGAACTGTCTCTTCTGTCTTGTTCTCTTCCTACCTACAGATTCAGCTGCCCTCCAGGTTAGCTCTTCTAGGTAGCTCAGCTCCAGCTTTCCCCTCAGCTTTCCATTCTGCACAATGTTGTCCCCCCAAAATATATGTGGATAACATACCCCGATGTGCTGAACTGCCAATGAATTACACCACTGCAGGCAGAGGTGGCTCCAGAGATGTGGGTCAGAGTTCTGCCCTCGTGAGCTCCAATCCTAGATTCAACATTAAATTCAGAATGATTAATACCAATCATGACCAGATCATCTCTCATTCTAATCCCTTCAGTGGCTGCCTTGGGCGCCTTGGGCATCAAGTCCAGATACCTGCTGGACTGGTTTCCACCCACCTCTCCCCACTTTCTCTTGTACTTTCTCTGTTCCAACAGCCACGCTACTTCTGCCCCCTCACTCCCTGCCTTTGTTCATGCTGCCCTCCCTGCCCGGAAGAGCTTCCTCTGCCCTCCATCCATCTGTCCTTTTAGAAGACTTAATGAGCACCTATCTTTCTGCTTCTCCACTCCACCCCTCAGCCTTCCCCTGTCCTGTTCACTCCTCTTTGTCTTCAGGGGTCTGTTCCAACAGAGTCTCTTCCAGAATCTCTTACCTGAAAGCCCACACCTTGCAAAATCATACCTTCTCTGTGCTCACATGATCCCCATACATGTGTCTTTGCACTCCATTCTCCATTCGCCTGAAATGGGCTGAGCACCATTGGTGCTCAGGGTGCAACAAAAAGCCCAGGAGACTGAAACTCCTATCCTCTTTGGAACGGTCGAGAAAGGCAACAGAAAGCAAAAGAAATAAATAAGCCCTGTGTAGTGGAAGTGATAAGAAGAACAAGAAAATGTGGAGAGGAAGTGGGGAGGGTTTGTGTGTTAGTGTGACAGGAAGATGCTGGAGAGACCTGCGGGGAGCTGCTCCAGGTAGAAGATACGTGTGCACAAGGGCTTTGCCACAGGAGTAGGTCCAGCGTGCACAAGGGAACAAAGCAGCAAGAGCTGAGGTTGGAGACTGATACATTGATGAGTAGATTTCCAGGACTGCGGGTCACTGTGAGGTCCATCTCTTACTTTGATAGTTTATTCCTCAAATATCCGCAATGAGCAGAGCTGGGCCAGAGTGATCCGGGAGCTTCATCCAGGTCTCCCATATAGGTGACGGGGCCAATCTTCCAGCGCCTTCCCTGACACACTAGCAGGGAGCTAGATTGGAAGTGGAGCAACTAGGACTCAAACTGGTGCCCATATGGGATGACAGCAGCACAAGTGGAAGCTTAGCCTGCTACACCATGGATCCAGAAAATCAATATTTTAAATAGAATTTAAAATTAAGAGGCTCTGCATTATTTACCTCTAACAGTGATCAAACTCCATGAAAAAAATTAAAATAGCATAAAACAACTCATCAGCTAAGAGCAACATTTTTCACATGTCTTCCCATGCTTTTAATGAATGTAGATTTTCTTTTTTCATTGTCCCTATAGTTTTAACCAAGATCGACAACTACACTCTGCTGGATTATTCCATGATCGATTCTCCAAAAATTACCGAGAGCTCCCTTGACCTGGATTTCAAGGTAACTTTCCCATCATCAGAATTCTCACTCTGGATGTCAACAACCAAAATTTCGAGAACTCAGGTTACATTTACACATAACATGCTCCTCAAATCATTGTCTTTTCTTTCGAGAAACTCTGTCATGTTTATGTCTTTTCCAAGGATTCTGGAACACTTTATTTGTGGGCCAGTGATCATTGGGATTTCACAACCTGTGTCTGCCCCCTTCGAGAGATGTGCCAGGGTGCCTTTCCTCGGGGAGTAGGTAACAGCCAGGAAGGGAATGATCTGCATTTATTGTAAAGTCACGCATTGGTAGAACAGTACATGTTGGTCCTGTTTTTAATGCTCAGGTTGGTTGATTTCCATGAGGATAACTGACTTCTCCCAGGGTCATAAATGCAAGGAAATGATGTTTACTGATGCTGAACATGGAAAAGCAATCACTGACCTAATGTCCAGCTTGGCTTCAAAGTTAGTATTATTGTCATTAGGAAACACATCAGCTTATATTTCGCTTTCTCAGTCTTTGAAATGAATTTAATGGTGTGTCAGATTATTTTACAATAACTCCCTATAGCTAATGAAACCATTAGGAATGCTGCAAAAAATGCTTTAAACCATTCAGAATTCTGGGTCCTTCTGAGTCTATAATGTGCCAGGTACATGCCAGTCATGGATTTTTTTTTTTTTATTATTGGAAAGGCAAATATACAGAGAGGAGAGACAGAGAGGAAGATCTTCCATCCGATGATTCACTCCCCAAGTGAGTGCAACGGCCGATACTATGCCGATCTGAAGCCAGGAGACTCTTCCAGGTCTCCCACGCGGGTGCAGGGTCCCAAGGCTTTTGTCCGTCCTCAACTGCTTTCCCAGGCCACAGGCAGGGAGCTGGAAGGGAAGCGGAGCTGCCGGGATAGAACCGGCGCCCATATGGGATCCCGGGCATGCAAGGCGAGGACCTTAACCACTGCGCCACCGCGCCGGGCCCAAGTCATGGATTTTGAAGATTAAAGGTTTGGTTCCTCTGCATGGCACCTCCTTCCTGCGAGAAAAGTGCCAGCTAGTAGCTTCTCCCTGAGTTACACCACAGGACAGACAGAGATATCCAAATATGCTCAGGGAGCGTCAGAACTTTGAAACATCAGAGAGTCAGAAGCCTTATTATCTCATCCCTACTGAGTCTTGGGGGGAAGGGGGGAGGGTCTTCTTTATTCTGACCTAAGAGGGTCGACCTTTTCAGACGTTTCACCCAACCCACTGGTCTTTCTGTTTTCCCACAGGGCACTTTCTACCCTCTGAAGAATGCAGTTGATCCCCCCTTCTCACCAGTTCCTTTTGTGCTGCCCGAAGGCAGTGACTCTATGCTCTACATTGGGGTCTCCGAGTACTTCTTCAAGTCTGCCTCTTTTGCTTATTTCACAGCTGGAGCTTTTGATGTCACTTTCTCGACCAAAGAGGTGAGGACAGTTAACAAATGATGACAATGACACCATCAGCTCACCTTCCTATCAGTATCCTATTGTGAAATTTTTAAGTCATGCTTTTGAATTCTAGACCTTTTAAAGTTATCACTATTAGCAGGACAATGAACAAAGGAATTGTGGAATGAATGTTGCTTTTCACTGGGGAGTTATTTTATGCTAATTTTGGTTTTTTCATAGTATCTGACCACTATTAGTGATATCTTAAATAATGCCAAGATCTCCCCTCCCCAACCAGTTCAGACTGCCCCTCAGTAATTTCAACATATTTAACTCTCCTATGCCAGAGTAGCCTCAATTTGGAAAGTGAAGATAATGATAGCCCCATATTGAAAGGACATTAAAAAATGTAAATACATGTGGTGCACTCAGCCCCATCCGTAGCGCAGGGTAGGGGCCATGTAATGGCTACATGCCATCCCTGTAATAATAGTGTGGTTATAATTGTTGCTATAATTGCTATATGTAGTTATAATTGTTGGAGTTTCACCAATGTACAGGCCGCCCCGATGGTAATAGCAACTACCTTATCTCAAGAATAGGACAGCTAAAAATAACAATAATTTAAAAGAAGAATAGGACAGCTAGCACTCTTTGCCATGTACTTCCATTTTATAACGAGAATCCTCTCTCCTGCCAGCAAATCAGAGTCATTTATGGAGACTCCCCTTTGAATCTCCTCATTCTATACTTCTTAATTGTAGTTGTAATTGAAATGTTTAGTGTGGCTGTACCAACCTCCTAGAGTGCTGACAGAGGACACTCTCACATTCAGACTTGAAACCCCTTTCTCTATGAAGGTAAACGGCTTAAGCATCCTGTCCCAGAAATCTCTGAAAATGAGAACAGTGACACCAGACTTGTTGTGAACACATTTTTGCACACGTGTGTGTGTTCCCAAGTTAAAAGGTGCTTACTCAAAAGGTGTTAAACTTCCTTCGTGACATTGAGCAAGTCACTTTCTCTAGGCCTCAAATTCCTAATAGATTATAACAAATATTGTAGTGTAACAGCACCACAATTCACAGAATCATAGAAAACATTACATATTCCCTAAAGAAAAAAAAAATCCAGCTAAAACCCTTACGGTGATGTGGTGGTCTTTATTTTTCAGATTTCCAACCATTTAATCCAAAACTCTCAAGGTATTGGCAACATACTCTCCCGGGTAAGTGCTTCGAGTTTGACTCCTTGATCATGTATTTAATTTAATTTCAGTTACTTCAGGAAGTCTTATAGGTTTTATATCTCCTTTAGGGCCAAGTTTGAGTCCATCTTTCCATTAGTAAGAGGTTTGGTTTTTTTTTCTATCTTAATCAAATATCCACAAATGCTTACTGAACAGTACATGTTGAAACACAGTTAAGGAACAATTAAAAGCATTGTAAGTTCACAAAAGAAGTCAGGCGTTGCTTCCACAAGGTCCCATCACCCTTGAAATAATTAGCTTGAAAAAGGACTGATTAGCTTATGTGAAGGATCACATAATTTGTAATTTTAGTAAAATGACTATTAGTACTATGCCTTAATAGCATAGTGAGCATTGGCCATGCTGTATCAACAGGCTTCGGTTTGTTCCCAAAGACAAGGAGATAGAGGTGTAGTATCCTGATTCTAGAGCAAGGATATCAAGTCAGACAGATTTGCATCCCACTTGTACCATTTATTTTAGTACAGGTTTGAGAAAGCCCTCTCCAGGACTCCCATAGTCTATTCTAGAACAAGGATCCTGGTAGAGTGTACCTCACAGGGATTCTGGGAAGATGCGCAGGGATCATTCCTAAAGTTTCTTGTATTCGGTAACAGTCAGATGTTGTTGACCATGTGTGAGTGCTGTTGTTGTTGCTACTATTTAAAAGGTGGTTTTTGTATTTTAGCTGTGTTATATAAGATTTAATCATGGCAGCCCACCCCAACTCCGTGATCTCCCATCTCTGTCTCCCTGCATGTCCGCAGATCGCAGACATCTACATCTTGTCCCAGCCCCTCATGGTGCGCATGATGGCCACAGAACCTCCCGTGATCAACTTAGAGCCGGGCAACTTCTCTCTGGACATCCCTGCCTCCATCATGATACTCACCCAGCCTGGGAACTCCACTGTGCAAACCATCGTGTCCATGGACTTTGTAAGTCTAAAGACACAACACAAGGGCTGCCTGTGGGTTGCTAATCCTGTTCCCCCTTGGCTGATGGGTCATTACAGGAATGAGGACAGGGTTACGACTATAGGGGTAGATGTGTGGAGGGAGGGGGACCAGCACTCACTTCCTCCACTCATCGCATAAAATCTGACCCGTCTACCTGTGCGCCCCTTCCTACTCTCTCATTTACATGGGTGGCTGTGTTTCTCTGCTATTTTAAATAAGACAATCAAGGTAGAATTCAAGTTTACTTGATCAAATGAAACTCTTTTGCAATCTGATAGAAAGGAACTGATAGGATCAAACTAACTAAAATATCACACACACACTCACACACACACACACACACACACACACTCACTCGTGTACGTGAAGAATAGAAACAACAGAAAAATCATTTGAAAGGAGATCCTCACACAGAAAGTCTTTACAGTTAGTTTTCCCTCTTCCAAGAAAGGATTCTCCAAGAAAATTTTTTCCAGTATCTTTTAGAGTAATCAGGGAAGGGGGGTGGAGTGGGGGAGTTGGGCTTATGAGCCTAAAGGAATTACATTTGTTGCCAAAATGAGCGGATCTTAGTAAAGAAGGCTTTTGTTGTTTACAGGTTGCTAGTACCAGTGTTGGCCTGGTTATTTTGGGACAAAGATTGAGCTGCTCCTTGTCTCTGAACAGGTGAGATCGATTGATCTGATTTGATTTTGTTTGATTTCATTGATCTGATTTGATGATTTCTAAAACACGTGGTAATAAGGGAGTCCACTCACCACAGGGACAAAGCAGCCATTAAAATGGCCTCAGTGCAATGGCTCAATTGACTAATCCTCACCTTGCAAAGCACTGGGATCCCATATGGGCGCTAATTCATATCCTGGCTGCTCCACTTCCCGTCCAGTTCCCTGCCATGGTCTGGAAAAGCAGTGGAAAATGGATCAATTCCTTGGGCCCCTGCACCCATGTGGGAGACCCAGAAGAAGCCCCTGGCTCCTAGGTTTGTATTAGTTCAGCTTCAACTGTTGTGTCCATTTGGAAGTTAGCCATTCTATAAACACTAGTCATATAACGCTTTCTTCCATAAAAGATCAGGTAATTTCAACATGGATCTAATTAAAAATTGTATTGTGAGGTTTTCCTTTCTTTTTTTTTTTGTTTTTTTTTTTTTTTTAGATTTTATTTATTTGGAAAGCAGAGTTCTAGAGAGGGAGAGACAGAGAGAAAGTAAGATCTTCCATCACTGGTTTGCTCCTCAAATGGCCACCCTTGGCAGGACTGGGTGGGGCTGAAACCAGAGCTTTATCCTGTTCTGTGGTTGAGTGCAGGGCCCTAAGCGCTGAGGCAATCTGTTGCTTTCCCAAACTTATTTACCATAAGACGAAGCAGCCAGAACTCAAGCCAGTATCCACAGGGGATGCCACTGTCTCAGGTCACAACACTGATCCTGAGGTTTTCCTTTTTCCTTCCCTTGGAGTAATGTTAATACAAAAGGCAGAACAAAATCATTGAGAGCGTAATTCCATGATATTGGTACACTTTCTAATTAGTAATATAGCAATATAAAATCCCTCTTTATCAAATTCTGAGAGTGATCCAGAGGGAAGACATAAAAGTTGAAGGGTTAAGAAACCAAATTTCAAATCCCTGACCTCCAGTTCTGTGACCGTGATTAAGGTTGTTTGTCTCTTTGAGCCTCAGTTTCCTTATCTGGGAAAGAATAAAGTCGTACTGGGTCCAGCCCAAGGTGCCATCAGATTGTAACCATCTGATCTCAGTGCCAGAACAGACAGTGAGCAAGAGTTTGTCCCCTGGTCACAAATGCACGTGGTGCTGTGTGAAAGGACATGAGCAGGTCACTTGCAGCACGCAGATCATTAAACAGGAGCTGTCCCTTGGAGGTCTCCCCATGGTCCGTCTTCCTCGTCCCTGTAGAGCTAAGGGTTGAATGAGTCAGACTGCCGGGTGGGTGGAGGGGCGTTTGCAGAGAGATCAGACGGTCTAACAAAAGTCACGGAAAGAAGAAAAGGAAGACACATCGCAGAATCCGAAAGCAGCTCTGGGGGTGGGGGTGTCTACCTCCATCACCATAGATCAACTTGATGGTTATGAAGGCTACTGTGGAAACACAGAAAGTGTTTTCAATAAATCATATTAAACGGAAAAAGCAGAATACACAATTGCATAAACAGTTGTGTGAAAGAGCTTTCCATCTGGACAAGAAAGTGAGTCACACATGTGAGAAGAGTTGTGTCGGAGACAGGGTGACAAAGGGCTTTTTTAAATAAAGATATTTTTGTAACTATACTGTTGTTCCCCTGAAAGGAACAGTGTTTAAAAGATACCTGTGGTATGATTTTTCCAAAGAGAAAATGTTTCTAGAAGGCTGGCTGGAATTTATTCAGCCCTTCAAACCAGAGCTGACTTTCCCATTAGGCACAGTTCCTTTAGCCCACCATATCTTTTTGAAAATTGTTATTCAAGAGGCAGGAAGACAGACAGAAAGAGTTGGTATTCACTGATTCACTCACCAGATGCTCTCGACAGCCAGGGCTGGACCTGGGGCCAGAAGCTGAAGCTGAAAACTCAATCCACATTTCCCACGTGGTGGAGGGACTCAGTCATTTGAACCACCGCCACCTCCCAGGCTGGGTATTAGTAGGCAGAGGGAGTCAGGAGTGAAGCCAGATATCAACCCCAAGCACTTCAACATGGCATAAAGTCGTCCTAACCATTAAGCCCAACACCCGCCCCAGCCCATTATTGTTTTGGTATTCATGGAAACATTTGCGTATGTTTTAAATGAAAATGTAAAATATAAACAATGCAGATTAGATAATAGCTATCCTTATTTCAGCACAGTTGTAACATATAATCTTAGTATCTTGTTTCGTGGAAGCGTCCCAAAGGCAGAAGGGCCTGAGGCTCCCAGCATTGGTGAAGTGACCCTTCTTCTGGCAGATGAGGTTGATAAAATTCTGAAGCATGCTAGTGACCTCTCTTGGATAGTTCTGCAGTTGAGAGGACAGGGACCCAAGAGTAGGAGGATGAGGAGCCAAGGGCCCAAGAGCAGGGAGTTGGGGTGGGGGGAGGTAGGCCATGAGGAGGAAGGAGGGAGGGAGGGGGAGAGGTCAGACAGTGGTGCCTGAACAGCACGACTCTGAGCACAGGTGAGACTTCACATGTTGGAAGACAGGGAGGGAAGAGAGACCAGAAACTGAGGCAGTGGAACATGGAGGGGCAGAGGGCTGTTGGTTGAGGCAGCGAACACCTGAGCAGGTAGCAACATGTGTGTGTGTGTGTGTGTGTGTGTGTGTGTGTGTGTGTGTGTGTGTAAGAACTGGCAGGAAGGACTTCCTGACACTAGGACTTTGAGCTGTGCCAGCCAGCTAGGAAAAGGCCTGAAAGAGGAAGAAGACCAGACTTCCCTCCCAACTTCCACAGAATATTCCACCAACAGTCCTCCCAGTATGATCAGTTGCATTTTGTTATAGGAGGTTCTGAAAATAATGGATTTTGATCCTCTTCAGGTCACGCTGCCCTAAGAAATGAGTAAACTCATTCTATAGTTTCCTACAGTCTATGGCATACTTTGGCCTCGTGGGCACAAACTGTAAAGTTAGGGTCCTACTCTGCTGCCCATTCCCTTGGGAGCCTCCCCTACCCCAGGCTGAGGAGGTCTCCTAGGTCCTCAAGCCTTAGGCAGTAGGGTCTGAGCAGGACTCACTGCATGTGGGGGGTCCACAGCAAAATGAAAACGAAAGACCCTTCACTTGCTTCTGTTTTTGAACTAGGCCTTTCTGAGATGAAGCCCTGTTCCATGGACACTAAATCCAGGGTGGCACCTGCAGGGGTGTCCAAGCAGACAGTGAGCAAACTGAAGGCAAGGCAGGTGGGCCAGGGCTTGCTCAAGCCTCAAGCAGCCAGATGGAAAGCCAGAGTTTGCAAAGCAGTCCCACAGTGCTGAGAGGGCAGTAGTGGCCCCTGGCAGCAGGAGCAGTGTGCTGCCGCCCACGTGGGCTGTTCCAGCCGGCTTCTCTGCTTCTGCGCTCCGCATGCACTGCTTTTCAGGACAAGCTGGTTTGGTGTTGGGTAACATCCAGCAGGAGAGTCGTGATGTGGGCAGGAAACTGTGGAACATCCCTGAGAAGAAGCCGGGAGTACAGGCTTCCCAGATAAGCCCCAGGGAGCAGCTCAGCCTTCCTAGTGAACCCTACCCAAATGTGTCTCTTTAGGAGCAGCACACGGCTAGCTGTGTAGACAGAGCTACAGCATGGTGGGCTTAGATAGACGGTGTGAAGTCACCTGCTGTGGAGTCTGACTGAGTTCAGATCCCAGTCTTGCCATTTATTAGCTATGTATTTGCAGGCAAAATACTTTCTTTTAAGATTTCTTTAACTCTTTAAAGACACACTTACAACCTAGTGAGACAGAGAGAGTCTCCCACCTGCTAGCTTACTCCCACATGGCCACAACGGCCGAGTTGGCTTATCCTGAAGGCAGCCCATTGTTACTGAACCATTCAGAACTTGGAGAGCGTCCCTGACGTCACTGTGACTGAGGTTTGGGGCACTCGCACGCTGTGCTCCACACACAGACAAGTAACACAACGTCCATAGAGCAGACAGCAAGCACATGCAATCGCTACCTGACTCCGCACTTCAGAGCTTGGCCAGATGAGTATTTCCCAGCATGAACCATCTGGGCAGAAACCCAGGAAAGTAAGCAGGTCCAGGCAGGGTGGACTCAGTTACCTTTGGGATCACGCTTTGGGCAGGTGGGTGGAGCTCATGTGGGCAGCTGTTCTGGCCCCTATCTCCACCCTTCCTCTCGGATACTGCTGAAGCCAAGGCAGATGAATGCCACAGCCAGATGGCCCCCCACCCACACCCCGTAATGGGAGACGAAACTCCGATGGACCCTTCTCCCAGACTCAGTGTGAAAATGTCCAAGCTGCAGGAAGAGGTGAGGTTACACCAGTGGAGCATTCTTATTCCCATGAAGGTTCTTTCTGTAGTGGAACTAACTAGTTCAACATGTTTCTTCCCCCAACACTTTTTACAGAGCATTCACTACACGCCGGGGTTTTAAAGCTCTTCAATCACTCATCCTACCTCGCATTCTGCCAGTCTTACCTCCTGTGGCCCCTTAATATAGCTCCCAGCCTGGCAGACCCTCAAAGAGATCCCAATTCCAATCAGTACTCCCCACTCAGCTCACTCTGCCCATTCACTCATGCTTCCATTCAGGAAGAGTCGACTTGGTACCTGTTAACACAAAGAGTTAGTAGTCCCTACCTTCCATGTCCACAGCCCACTGGAAGAAATGCTCACATTAACCAGTAGCTGCAAAGGACCGTGCTGGCGGTGTCTACAGAGCACTTCTATCACCAGGCTACTGATTCACACACTAAGACATTCCTCATTTCTCTCTTTCTCTCTCTCTCTCTCACACACACACAGCCCCCATCACACTAGTTTCTTCACCTTCTTACTGCTCAGAACTTCTGCAGCGACTCTGTGTGGTGCATAAACCCAGCAAAGGTCACCTAGGGGCACCCTGCCTTGTTAGTGTCCTGATTGCTTGCAGTGTATAGTTTCTCTGTATCCTGCGCAATGGTACACACAAATGAAATCTCTCATATTGCCCAGAACATCACTGAGAGTAGACTGAGAACCTGGAAA